AAGTAAGGCTTGACATATCTCGCTTTGCATGTAATGCGTTTATCTCATATATTGGTTTCACCTTTTGAGTTGCCTTACTAGACATAAATGAACATTTGCATAATATTCTAATTTTTCAAGTTTCACCTGTAGTATTGGCAAAAGCTCTCTAAATTAGTAGGGGCAGCCTGAACTCCTAGGCGATATTCTGATCCTGGATTTTAAAAGAATCAGGTTGCTTTCCATTGAACTAATACAGAGCTCTGATTCTTAAATTGATTAGGGATTTAAACATTTGCAGAACAGGCTGAAAAAGCAAAATACCCCTTCTTTGCTCCACTGCTAGTTGCACAACAGTTCTTACTTGAGAAATGTTTCATTCAGCTGTTTTACCTGTTGCTAGCATATTTTTTCTCTCTCTCTCTCTCTGCTTTTTTTCCCTTCTGAGTTGATTTTTTTTTTCTTTCTAGTTATTTCTGTACCTGCTTTGGTTAAAAAAGAAAACGGGGAGGATGTGGGAGAAGAAAGAAGTCTGAATGCTCTTTGAGCCTCAAATGTCAGCATTTATTTCTCATGAGGGAAATCCCAGTTCTTCAAATATTGGGTTTCTGCCTCTACACAATCTCCACTGGAGACTCCAAAGGGGAATGCTTGCCTTTGCTACTGAAAACGTCCCCAAAGAAAAGGAAGACATTGTTATTAACCTTGTTACTTTTACAGGCAAAGCGTTTGTCAACTCTGTCCCTTCAGTATGAAAAAAAACTCGCAGATCAGCGGAGAGGAGGCAAGAAGAAAATCAAGATAGTCAGCAGCTTGGTATGTGGCACTCGTATCTGCTATAAAGGATGTACTTGCAAGAACCAGATTGCCTGTTGTGGAGGAAAGGTCTTTTCCCCCCAGAGCCCTTAATATTCTCTATAGGGTCCTCTCTCTCTGTAAGAGCCACGTTGTTGCACCGCCTTTGCTATTCCAAAGTGCTCATCTTGTCCACCCCCAGGTTCCTACAGATAAAGGAAACAAAGGCTGTCCGTACAAGCAAGTATGTTAAGTTTTGTTTCCTCTTAAACATGTCAATTTCCCAGCTACCTCCTGAATATCTTATGCTAGGTTTCTGCTCGTACTCCATAGGCTATAAATAGAGAAGCCATTTTCTTTGTCTTTGCCTTAATGCTCCACGGGGTTACAAGAGTTTGCTCTGATCCTTAGCACTGAGTAAAGTTCTTCCGCAGCAACAACTCTTGAGTTGTTTTACTGGGTTCTTGAATTAAATTCCTCAGCACCGTTACTCCTCTACATTGAACCATAAGCTGACCAGGTAAGTTAGATATGCACTACCGTACATGCTAAGCTACAAATAAACATGATTAGCGTGTTGTGCAAATCAGTATCTATGTGTGTCTGGTTTGTCTAGTTGAGAAAGTTATTTGGACACCACTATGATGTGTGCATTCTGTCTGGAAGGAAGAAGCTTCTGTTGGGGTTCCTCTATGCCCCTGTGTTGTCTCTGGATGGGGTTGCATCGCCCCTGAAGGAGCAGGTCCATGACTTGGGGTTCCTCCTGGACTGGTAGCTCCTGTGAGAGAAGCAGATGGAAGATGTGGCCGGGGGCCTTTGCCTAAGTTTGGCTGATGGGCCAGTTGTGGCCTTACGTGGGGCAAAAGGACTTGACTGCAGTGGCTCATGCCATTATGCTACCCAGCTAGACTCCTGCAATGCACTCTACATGCGGTTGCCTTTGAAGAACCCTGAAGCTTCAGCTGGTTCAAAATGCCGGGTGCTCGTGGGTGCTTGCTGGCAGGCAAACATTGCCCTACTCTGCAGGCCCTGCGTTGGCTTCCCATTAGCTTCCAAGTGCAATTTAAAGTGCTGGCTTCAACCTATAAAGTCCTTTACAGCTTGGCACCAAGTTACCTGCAGGACCGTGTCCCTGCTCTGGAGTTGGCCTGATCATCTTGATCATGCCAGGAGAACCAGTTGGTTGTCCCCCATTTTTGGGGAGGTCAGGAGTACCAAAGTCCAGAGGGATTTTTCCGCAATGGGGAATGGTGTCTGCCTGGAATGGTGTCCTGCAGGAGGTTGCCTCCTTTCCAGAAACAGATGAAAATGGAGCTTTTCCAGAGAGTTTTGGGGGGTTAACACCAGTTATTATTTGTGTTTTTATGTAATATTAGGTTATTGTTCTCTTTTGTGAGCTGCCAGAGTCTATTTATGATGGCAGCAGGATATAAATCCAATAAACAAATAAATGTGTCTCTTTTTCAGCATCTCCCAAAACATACAGGAAGTCAGGCTCTGGGATGGGCTATGAAATCTCAGTGCCACCTGTTGTTACACCAAGATTCGAGGGGCAGTGATAATTGCAAGGGCAGACAAGTCAGCCTCGGAGGTTGAGCACATGCATTGTCCCAGGGGATTGCCTGTTTAGAAAAGGAGAAAGAAACCAGGCCCAGATGTGTAATAAGAATTACACATTATACAAGTAATAATGCCCATAGAAGCCAAACATCTACTCACTCCACGAAGAACTATTTGGACCCTTAAGGAAAAGTTGACATCAAGTACACTCAGAAACATGTCTTAGGGGAAAACTGAGAAAGAGCTTGAAACATTTCACATGGTTTGTTTGTTTTTTCCAAGTCTTCACAGAACATGGATGCCTGCTAGAAAATTAGAATTAAAGACAACATTTAAAATGTTTACTGGGGAATAAGTGGCATTTGAGGTCCTGAAATTCATCCCGTGAAATATCCAGAGGGGATTTGGACAGTGAAGATACTTAAGGGGAAGGAAAAAAGACGGTCAGAGTTAGTCTTCCAGTTGACTCTAATAATCTGGGCATACATGGTAGAGAGAAAATAATCTCTCCCTCTCCCTCCCTCCCTCTCCTTATTCTTCACAGCAGACTAGTGAGGTACCAGATTCCTCGGAGCCCAAGAAAGCTAGAGCTGTAGCTTTTATTGCAACAGCGAAGCAATCCCTGAGCCAGCTACGTTTTGATGCGTTTTCGCGAGCCCTCCAACAGTACAAAAATTCAAATGATTTCAGTGCTATGTTATCTCAGATGAGCGGACTTTTCCTGGAAGACCAAAAAAACCATGTCCTAATGCGAGGTATTTTAAATTCCCAGGCTTCTCTTATAGCAATTGTATGAATGATGATTAAATAGTACCTGCATTCCTTCTGTTAATTTTTTTTTTTAAGTACAGTACAGTTCAAAAGGCTTCCTTCGGCTGATTTCATTTGTATCTATATTTATTATTCTCTTGAACTGTACAAGCTGGCTCTTGTCTCATTTTGGAAGAATTCAAACCTGTGCTGGGTTTCATATGGCAGCTTTAAAGGTATGCTTTCATACTGTTTGTTTGCTGGCTTCACCTTAACCAAATGTGAATGCAGAATATGTGTATTTTGTGCTTGATTATAGTGACAGGATCCTAAAGGTGTTACAATTTGTAACTCTGGAGGCATGTATGGTAACTATAGTGGCTAATGCACAGAATATTTTTTTATTTTTTAAATAATTATCATTTTTATCCCTCCCTCCCCCCCCGTCTGTCTGTCTGTCTGTCTATATATATATAGACAGACAGACAGACATAGACAGAGTGACTCAAGGCAGCAAACATACCTAATATTCCTGCTCCTGTATTCCCCACAACAACTACCCTGTGAGGTGGATTGGGCTGAGAGAGAGTGACTGGCCCAAAGTCACCCAGCCGGCTTTCATGCCTAAGGCAGGATTAAAACTTGC